TCCGCAACCTTTATGGCGTCCATTAGATGGATCCTACCATTCTTTCAGTAATAAGGGATATAACCAGAGTGAAGCCAAACTAAGTTGTGAGACTATGATGTTTATTTGGCTTTAATTGGAAAAGAGTATAAATGCAAAATACAAGGTTGTGCATTCTACATATACTTCCAAACTGAGCTTTACAGATATCACATATATTATTTTATTTTATATATTAGTAGGGACCTATGCGATATACTAGCTTGGTTAAATGAAAGATAAAAAATAGAAACACATAAAAGTAGACAATTGTTTTATATTTTAACTTTTTTAAATAGTTAACGACATTTAGGCGTGGACACGAGATAGACCAAGTCTACCCATATTGATTAATAATATTACATATTAAAAAGTATAAAATTTTAACTTAATTTATAATGAATATTAAAGAAAATACAAATAAAATTTTATGATGTATATATATTGATATATTTTTTTGGTAATATATATATTGATATATTATACCATATATACACTAGATGAATATAAGATTTTTGAAAGTTACAAGTTGAAAGAGCTAGAAGATCTAGGGGCTATTAAAAACCTAGTTTTAGAAATTTGGAGGAGAAGTTTAGATGCGTATATAAAGATTCCATCTTTAGAATGTTATTTGCCTCTAACTTAGGTAATTGGGTTTACTATGGGTTGTAGGTAAATTCATTCCTAAGATACAACAAAACTTGAGATGAGAAACTATAACCAAAAAAGTTGATGAATCTCTAAGAAAATCTTCTGTGACAATAGCAATTCAGATTGAAAGAAACAAGGATGTTCTATGTTGCGAATTGTGTGTAAAATAGCTTGATTTACACTCGTATTTTAGATTTTGGAGAGCCACCACGAAAATGAACAAGTGTGTTTGAAGAGACTCTTTGTGCAACTCCCTAGTTGAATTAATTATGCGATTATTCACAATTAATTAACAGTTAATGACTGTTAAAATAAAAAATTATGTCTCTTGATCACATCTATTCAAGTTTTAACCGTTGGATTTAATTTAAAACATCAATTGTCACATTTTGACCTCAAAAAAGTGTTCATTCCCACTTTTGCTTGTGTCAATGTGATTCACAACATAGGTTAAATGCGATTTGTGATTACTATTGTACTTGCGATTGTGATATGCAATTGTACAATATAGCTCACTTACACGAGACCACATGGGTGTGCACAAAGTGTATCTCAAAATGTCTCATTACACCACATATATTCACGCACACTTATATGTTCATGTTGTATGGTAGTAAGTCTTTATAGTCTCCTTTTCATAATTTTAAAGAATATAAGTAAGCTCCTACTAAAAAGGTTCAAAACAACAATTTTGATGGGAATTTTGAAAATCACTTTTTAAAGTGCATGTGTGAGTATACTCTAATATGGAATTAATAAATCAAACACCCATGAAATTTAATCACATGAGATCAAAATCCATCAGTGTGCTCCATTATGAGAACAAAATCCAACAAGGCAAACCAAAATGGATTTGGGTGGTAGTATGGGTGCAACTCAGGTGGAATAATTTGTGTTGAGGTCAACCAAAGCCCAACCTAACCTGAGGTCATACTTAAATTTATCAACCAAGCCTAACCGACACAATTTGGGCCAGGCTTGGG